AGACGGGAAGAGAGAGAGAGAGAGAGAGAGTGAAAGGGAGAGAAGAGAAAGAGAGGTGGGCCAGGCTTGGCATGCAGACAACAATGTTCTGTGAGAGCTATAGAGGACAAGGTCATTCAAGGTCCCCTGTCATTGCTTGATAGGTTACAGTGGGGGTTTCTGATAGGATGAGGTACAGTTGGGGTCCTTGTGGTATACTTGTGCATGCATGTGATGCCCCCTTTTCTAGTGATGCATCAGTATTGTGTGTGTGTGTGTGTGTGCACGTGCATCTCCTTGCTTATGTCCAGCACTAATGGCCTTGTGTTGTAGCCTACCATGCCAGCCTCGTCTAAACTCCTGGTCTCTCATGTTTAATTGAATTTGTCACAGTTTGTAGCCTCGAATACCTCAGCACTAACCATTGCTGTGCATGTTTGATGAGAGAGAGAATTGTGCGCCCACTGCTTTGTATACAGTATGCAGAGTGTTCACATTTTTCATCCCTGTCTTGACTTGAAAAGAACCACTGACTTCTTGAAAACAGAACCAAAAATGTTTCAAGAAAAGACAGTTTACAGCAAAGGCCAGACTGAGGTGCTGATTTGCTTTGCTCAGCAGGTTTTGAAGCGATTCAGTGTGGTACTGTATGTTCATCTACAACACATTTGTGCCCTGCATTTGTCCTGGTAGGGATATGCATAGATAATATTCTCAATATGTTTGACAGGAGGGAGATGCAAACATTTCAAAATATGTTGGTGCCTGTAGGACTGGATCACGCTCCAGAAGCCTCTTAGCATTTTTCCATCATATGGCGCCTCTGAAGGGCATCAGTGAATGTGTGTGTGGATTTGTGTACGCATGTGTGCACGTGCATCTGTTGATGCACTTCTGCGTGTGTTGGAGTGAGAGTGGACTGGATATAGTCTGCATTCTTGTTTTGCGTTTCATTATTATTATCCTTTGCAGATTTCCTTCGTCTGCACTGTAATATTTGAATGTTGCAGAGGTAAAATGAGAACATTGATTTCAGTTACCGCTAAGCCACTAGTCTCTAGTCTCGCATGCTTGGCAGCTTGTATAAAACAAGATGAATGTGATGGAAACTCTAATACTATTACTAATGACAAATCACATCCTGTAGATTTCTACCTCAGCAGTATTAATGCGTGCACGCACCAGCACACACGCGGTTGTCTTCACAGACGTGTGTGGATCATATTGGGATTGCTCTAAGATAAATACTGATTGGATTAATGGCCAGGGATTGTGCAGTTGGATACAGAGTCACTGAGGCAGAGATCCATCAATTTGGCAGCGTTGTGCTGGCATGCTGCTCCAAATAAAGAAACAGGAGTTGTAGTCGGTGATCCAGGGAGTTATTTCTGGTGCTTTGGACAAATGGTCTTTTCCTCTGTTGTCTGTTGAAATCAGAAACTTGTGTGAGTCAGTGTTCTGTTCATGCAAGTGCACATTTGTGGCTACAGCGTTTGAATGAGGTGAAGTAGGGGCGAGGTATTGCAGTTAGACCACATCTCCTCTCATTGTTCTACTGGGGAGTTCCTATTTGGCAGGTTGACCTCTGTTATGGTTTTATTTAGGTCAAACCAGACTGAACAGAAGTGGCACAAAGCTTCTCTGGTAAAGTTCCTGATAGTTAACTGTCATGGAAATTCAAAACAGTTGTAATAAGAGATATCAAACACGAGGATGTAGTTCTCTAGTGGATCTCGTGATTAACTGTTGATGTTATTATTTGAGATAGGCACACTTTTATGATGGATTGAAATTCAGGTAGGAACTTTCAGTCTCCGTGCACAACCTCTGCGCGGTCTGTTTAAACAGACACCTTGTTTGTGGGTTTGTGGTTTTTTTTTTCCTGTTGCAAAAAATGATCTATGACGAACAGCACAGTAGATGCTCGGAAGGCAGATCTACCAATCTTTTTAAATTCATTATCTTAGTCACTTCTCATTATTAAGTTTGAGTTGTATCTTTCTCTCTCCTCCTGCCCCATCATCATAGATTTACATTCTAATATTTGACTTCTTTGGAATGAAAGTCCCTCGATGTGTGGCTCATTAAGATTAAAAAAAAAAAAAAAAAACGATCACCCTCATAACTTCACCAAGGCAGGTAATCAGTTTGGACCAGATCAGGTGGAAGAGTGTGAAAATAAGTACCTCAGTTAAGGTTTATTTATTTTTTTATAAATGGTAGTTTGTATTTATGCACTTTAACAGGTTATTCCGCCCGGAGGGTGTTCTTTGAAGCTGTAGACCCTCCCCGCTTTATTGAATTTTTACTGATGTGAATTTTACATTGTCCAAGAATAACATGGCTTAACTGTCTGTCCTTTTCCCCTCTGTCCACAGTGAATGAGTATGTGTTCATGGTCCAAGCCAGAGGGATCCAGATCAGAGAGAACGTGAAGAACATTGGGGCTCAGGTTCTGGAGCAGGTGGTGAGAGGGGCTTACAGCATCAATGGCACAGGTAAAAACATACACGTTAATGCACCGAGGTGTTTCGGGAATACTTCGCTCATATGTGGCTTTTTTTAAAAATGCAATGGGTGCAAATGCAGTTAAAGAAACAGAGCTGTAGTAGTTGAGTCTGTCCCGATCTGTACTGTAAGTGACTCAGACATGTGTATGGAGCATTTAGCTTAGGCAGCAGTGAAAGAGGTAAAAACATAAGAATAGTTGATGCAACACAATAGAGCACAAAGCTTGACTCGTGTAGATAAAGACTGAATTAAGCTCCCGCTGATGGTGGTGTTGATACTTGTATATGTGTGACCCCAGACTATTCCTATGACTTCAATGTGAGCGAGAGTGATGATCCTCCCACCACATACCTCCCAGAAGGCTTCACCTACCTCTCCTCCCAGATTTGCCCCGAGAGACTGCCCTCCATGAGTAAGTGCACTGTTAAAGTTTGATTTGTAGTTTGTCTTTAATTCTTTGATCCTGGCTGATGATTCTCTTATATATGTAAGGCACCAGATGAGAAAAATGTAATTCGGTCTCCTTGGTTGACCCTTAATGGTAAAAAAACAGTTGTTCTTCAGGTTTTCTTAGCTGTGTCCAATAAGTGAGTTTTCATGGTGCTTCTGTACATATTTGTTCTAATAATGAGGAGTGAAATGGTTGAGAGCTTCTGTTTTATTCCAGTTTTGATTGATGATGCATGCAAATATGTTGGCCAAGAATAGCTTAACCCAGCAATTTATGCCCCAGATTGCTCAACTGTTAAAAGCTTTGACGAGCGTTGCCCCCCCCCTTCCATACCTCTTTGTATTGTCATTAACATTTTCCTCATCTCATTCCCTTAATCTATTCCCTCCAATTCATGTCTTTACTATTCCATTTTATTCACATGGCCGCCATGGCTCTGTCTATCTTTTTTCCTAACCCTCGTGGCTTTTTGTGGCTCATAAAATCTGTCTCTTCTTCCTCTCCCTCTCTTTTTTCCTCTCCTGCCACACACAGAGGGCAGATTGGAGGTGAATATGAGTGAGATATCTTTGGAGGAGGTGGAGAGATCTTTGCTGGAGGGAGAGCCTCACATAGCCGAAGGAGGCTACTGGAAGCCCAAAGACTGTTTACCTCGCTGGAAGGTAAGTGTGGATGTGACATTGAAAACACCAAATGGAAGAATTTTGTGAGGAATGGTATTCATCCCTTCTGTAGAGTTCAGAGACTTGCAGAATGTATACAAGGGGGCTTTGAAGCTCCTCTGGTGGCAAATTATGCACCACACTTTATGTTGATTAATCCTGTAATTTGTTGCCCATAAATGTTACAGTACATGTTGCCTATCCATTGCAATAGTTTCTGTGTCATTTGCTGCCCTTTGGCAATATTAGCTGCAGCTGAACCCCTATAAAGCGCTCTATGGCATTTAGTTTGTGGTGCTCAATGTGCCAAAAGATTACAGCAATATTGTGTATTTTTCAAAATAATAAATGTCACAATCACTAATACACAGATCTTGTTGTGAACGGTTTAGTTCAAAATGACTTTATACCAAAGCATTCCCAATAATTTTGTAACTAAGGAGTGCACAAAGTTGAATTATTGAGTGACTATGTCATTCTTGGCAACAGACATTAATGTCAAAAGTAATGGGGAGAATAATCAGTGTCTGTTACTGGAAGTTTCCAGCATTCACAGTCCAGACATACAATGCATACACTGTAACTGCCATGTCCAATACCTGTCCATTGTGCAATGTATATACATGTTTTTACACCATTTGCATTTGATGCAGGTGTTCTATCTGACATTCAAATGCAAAAAAAATAGTTAGTCACACTTAAACCAGCCTCCTCTACTGTGTGCTCACTCAGTTTTTTTTGTCCAACAGAGCGTTCTTGCCTGCCATCTGTTTGTCCGTCTCTCACATTCATTTGCCCTGAGGGACTGTGTATGTTCTGACAACCAGCTCTCTATCTCTTTCTTTCATTAGCCAGCAATCTCTCTCTCTCTCTCT